TACGTGTATATTCAAAAAGGTGACAGTATAATTCGCTTGGCAGGAGGATGGAGGGTTTAGAAATTTATAGAAATGATTAGAAAACGGAAGATAATTTATAAGTGTGTTGAAATAATGTTTGAACCTTTGCTGATCTATTTCTGAATCCAAATATTTAACTTCTAACATTTTAATCAAGTTTATTTCTCTATAAGAAAATGTATTTAATTTAAATATGTTTTTTCTTAAAAATGCCAAACGAATTATACTGTTCTGTGGTCCCAAGAGTCTCTTCCAGATTTAAGCCTTTCGTTATACGTTCCTTTCCGGGCCTAGTCCCCCTCTGCCGTGGAGTTATCAGAGTTATCCGGACTGCAGGGACTTCCGCCTCCCCCTGAAGCTCCACCTCGCACATTTAGGCTATTGTGCAACATGTTGGCAATACTGTCCACATCCAGGTTCTCATCCGTGGCGGAGATCTTACGCAGAGCAGAGCAAACAATGCTGAGATCACCCCTCAACTCGCTGACCACTGCCGTGATTTTCTGGGCATTGGACAAGACCTCGACACTCATGGTGTAGGGATTGTACCGCACACCAAACGGTCTCTGAATGCTGTCGGCAAAGGCTCTATAAATATTTACAGAAAATACGACTAATAAATTATACATTTATCCAGAATAAATCAAGGATTATCAGCTTACCTCATCTGCTCCTTGGCCTCTTCAAATGAGTCCGTGTAGTAGTATGCATTCTGGTAGGATGTGATGATGCCTCCTCTTGGCAAGTCACCTCCGGATCAAACTTCTTGATTTTCGCCTCTGTTGTAATCGCATGCTGCAATTCGGCCACGGAACTCAAAAGTCCGGCTCCATAAACCTTGAAAGAGCTGTCCGCCTGCTTGCACAAACCAAATTCCACGGTGAAAAAGTAGAGCTGGGAATGAAAGGGTGTCACTTTAAAAAAAGATAAATTATTAAGGATTAAAGAGGGAATACCCACGGTGGCCAGTTTTTCAATATCCGCATCACTGGCTCCCAAGGAGGCCAACCCAATCTCTTGGGAAAATTGGGCAAAGCTCGAGTTGGCCAGCAAAGGCATGTGGCCCAGAAGTTCATGGCAACAATCGCTGGGGAAATTAGAAAAATTATGAATCATATAAGTCAGCGGAAATTCCGTAATACTAATATTTTTTTTTTTTGAAAGCAATGGGATTTTCCAATGAAAGCAAATTATTCAGAGAAGTATTATATTTAAAAATATCTTTCCCTTTAAAATATTTAATATTTATGTTGTGTTTTTATGAATTACACTTTTTTTATGTCGTGTGATCATTTCTTACTCTTGTCCTAAAAGTAGGCCAAGTATCTGTGTTATGTTTGCTATATATAAGATTAGCAATTATAAATAGTGATTCTTTTACCAGTTTATATTGAGTATAAGTCTAAGACTTTATTTTGTATAAAAAACTTGAATAAACTTACGGTTCGGGAGTGTAGAAGGGATCCGAAGAGTGCCGTATATACTGAGTGCAGTGAAAAACGCGAAATGCGAGTCCCGAAAGGAAGTCCCTGGGCGACAGATATCCTGCCACAGGTCTTAGCTGAAATCCCGTCTTGCGCTTGAGATACACACTCACATCCTGCAGTTGGGGGTACGTTATCCTCACGGTAGCCGCAGTACTTTTCCAACTCGGGCCAATTTTCCATATACTCTGGAACTGCATGCAACACGTAGAGGCGGTGCAGCTCCAAGAAAACGGTGCCCCTTCACACAGAAAGTTTCAAAGTCGCCCACATCAATCGATGCTGCAGTGCAATCAATGCCAAATGCAATCAAAAACTTACCAAGTCTTCACCTCCTCCGGTGTGTACTGCACTCGGGAATGGGATTGCCACTAAAGGTGAGGAAAGGATTTTAGGAGTGGGTTACAGGTGGGCTGAGATTTTCTATTATCCCGACACTTACTGTTTGAAGTTGTTAGCTATAGACGAGAACTGTTCACGGCGCTTGCGGTAAACCGGGTCCTTGAATCCCGGATGGTCGGCATCCAGTTCCGAGCCATACATCAGGACATTTTGGGCCTTGTCCAGGTCGGAAATCTTTCGTGGGAACCACACCATGTCACCGAAATCTGATGGTTTAAAAGTTAAAGTTTGAAAGGGGGAAGTAGGAATTTAATTTTAAGTTGTCCTAAATATGGTAACTTGGTTTGAAATTAGGAAAATACAGATCTCTTAAAAAATTCGGAGATAACCCAAAATATCCTTAAAGATTATACATTTTCTTAAAAAAAAAACTCACCGAAACTGGAGCAAGCTGAGAGTGACGGAGCCCTGGCCAATCCCTGCGTATTCACGGACGTATAGTTCACGCAGGCCACCTCCCTGTTCAGCATCTTCACCACCTGGTCAAGCCTTCGGGGATCGCACTCCACATCCACTAGAACATCCGCCTGGTTGGTGGTCATCTCCAGCGGCGACAACTCCAGGTGCAAGACATTAATGCCCAGCTCTTGGAAGACCTGCAGAGCCCTGGCCAAGTTACCCACCTGGTTGCGCAGGGTAAAGATGATGGAGATGCGTTCACCAGGCGAGTGCTGCCGTGGAGGATCCTGTCCAACGCCACCGATGGCCAGCCGGGGGTGGCTCTGGCGGTGCTGAGGAGTGACGCGACAGAGTCAAGTGTGGCGGAGCTGAGCCCGAAGAGCCGGAGGCCGTCGATGCTGTATCCTTTTTGAGCTGGTGCAGCGGACTGCCCTGCTTGACGGCCCACTCGCTCTCGCCGCTCCTGTAGAGCCACAGGCCCAGAAGACTCTTCCGGAGGCACTCATCACTGCACTGCACTGCACTTCGGAACTGGAACACTGGGAAGCCGGAATTACTTTCACCGCGGGCACACGCGTCGTATGCGCAACTCAGCGCAACTGCAAGATCCTGCCGATGCGGCGGTCCTTTTATAGGCAGCCTGCAGGACTCCCGAACGCACACACGCACCCACCAGAGAGATACATATTCAATTGTATTTATTAAGTGTGCGTGGCGAGATAAATTCGTTCAAGGATATAAAAGCTACAAGTGAGTCTTTCCATTCCATTCAGAGGCCCCACCTCCTTTTGGGGGATGTGCTCTCGCTCTGATTGGCCAAATCATGCTGGAGTCAGGCCAAAACGCTAACGCATGACGTCATGGTACTTTATGAGGAAAGGGTATGTGGGTTTTCTATTTAAAGTGGAGTTTAATTTTAATTAATAAAAATTATAAATGTAAAATTATGTGTCATTATTATACGATTTTAGATTATATCAATAGGAAAAAATGTTTAAAGCATTTAAAATTAAATGGAATGGAATTTTTATACATATTTAAAATGTATTTACCCAGCAATAAATCATAAAAAAGCTTACAAAATAACAGTTTTCTTAATATTGATATTTATTTTCCATATTTTAAAAGTTTTTAGTTCATTACAATATTTTGTATCAAGCTTCGTTTACAATTTATTATTCATCTTAGAGTACTTAAAACTTCCCCTTTATCCCAAACATTTCACTTTCTAATCAGCAGCAACAACTTTCAATGGCTTGAATGGGGAAAAAGTCATGAGACTGGGGCCTGGGTTCAGTGAAAGGACAGACAGACAGACCTTTCTGTGCTTGACTTTCAAATTCAAGCGTTTAATTTATGCTGGTATCGCAGTAACTAGTGTACCGTAAGGAAAAACCTAGTGAACCCCTTTGGAACTCCTGCGGAAAAAACAAGGGAAGAACTCCTGTTAGATAAAATCAATGGGAAGTTGGTCAAGGGAAACTGCCTGACTCGGCGACATTGAGAGTGGCCAAATAAACGGGAATAGTCAAACCATAAAAGAAAACTCTTTCCACAACCAGCAACCACTTGATGCTTCCCAGCGACAGAGTCAATAGAAGATAAATAGCAATTTCTTTTCGCCCGCTTCTCTGGGCCCATTGTTTGCGCTTCAAGAAAGGCAAATAGAGCTCGGAGGGGAAAGCGGAAACCGTGAGCAGAAAACCAGAGTCAGGGCTACTTGACTATTAAAATATGCGAAAACCACGTCAGAGGGGTGCCGACAGCCACTAAACACATGCGTGGGCAGGGAGGACCAACCCATCCCGTCCCGTCCCGTCCAGTCCAAGCCTCCTCTCGGCTCATCAGCCAAAGCGATAAACTTAATGGTGCTGGCTAACTGATTGACCGGCAAACGAGTCCCAGAGCGAGGCACTTTCCACTTTCTATTTGCCCAAGAGCCGCCAGCCGTTTGATGGATTTATGGTAGCAGCGAGTGCCTGAGAGGATACGAGGATTTCGCCCTTTTCTCGCGAGAGAAATCTCCCAGACGGAGACGGAATCCGGACTGGAGTCGAGGTCACGATGAATGGCAGTTGTTGATTCCCTTGATTTCGGAATAATTAAGTTAGACCCACTAATTTGCACGGGAGGGGGTTTGGAAGGGATGAAGTGTGACTAGGATTAAATTTCAGCATTTGCCATGATTCGTCAGCAGGGATAATCGTATGAACATTTAAGGAAAATAGGTTTTAACAAATATTAAAGGTTTTCAGTTGCTCAAAATTTGTTTAAATATAAATTGCAACATATTAGTACAACTTATGAAAAAATAAAAATAAATGATAACGAAAACACTAATTAGTTAAAGTTGATTAGAGTTTAAGCAACCAAGATAAGACTAGCTTCTGGGAAATGGTTTCTACTTTATTACTAGATAAGTTACTAGGAAATAAATATTTAAATATACATAACTTTATTATCAATCAGATTATATCAATAAGGTAATCTGAGAAAGGTGCCATAGTTCTAGGAAAACTCCGTTAGACCTGTGCGCAAACATACTTCTTCATACATCATCCAAGTAAATATGACCCATTACTAATATCTAGAGCTTTACTAATTGTTTAGTTAGAGCCAGCAATCTCTTTCTCTCAACGGGTATAAATACTTCGAGGCGGCAGGTTCTGGACAACTATTGTATTCTGACACCCATCAATATGAGAGCTCTTTTGGTGATCTGCGTCCTGGCTTTTACCTCCTCGGTGCTGGCCCGCACCATGGACCGTTGCTCCCTGGCCCGGGAGATGTCTAAGCTAGGCGTTCCTCGTGATCAGCTCAACAAGTGGACCTGCATTGCCGAGATTGTGAGCTCCTACCGCACCGATGTGAAGGATCCGACCGGGAAGGACTATGGAATCTTTCAAATTAATGACTCGTATTGGTGCAAGCCGGCCAACGGGAACTCGGCGAACGGATGTGGCGTGAATTGTAATGATTTGCTTTCGGACGACATCACCAAATCTGTGCGGTGCGCCCAGAAGATTAAGGCAAAGCAGGGATTTTCAGCCTGGGCAGTCTGGAATCGTTGCAGCGGAAATCTACCCTCGATTAATGATTGTTTCTAATGGGAAATAACATTTTATGTCAGAGCATTTTTAAAGAGCAAGCACTTATATTATTATTTTATTATTATAATAATTTTCTGCTAAAGAAATAATTAAATAAATACTTGCAATTAATATATATAAACGGCAATTTAATATATTTTTTAAATTAGTTATTGTAACAAATTTCCGGAAGCCCTAGTACCTTTGCAGTTGGTTTTTGGATGAAAGATCCAATGAAAAATCTCTCATAACTTGGTCAAAAAATCATTAATTTCAATTCGGAAAGCTGTTCTGTGTTACTTTTTACTAGGCTTACAAGTCTGCATACTAAATTAAAAATAAAAATTTTTGACAAATTTTGAAAAAATAATGATGTAACCCCTTATCATATTTTGAAATTTTGAGAAAAAATTAAAAAAAATTTTTTTCTTGCGGACCTTGCTAGATTGACTCGGCTATTGATGCTGATCAAGAATATATATGATTTATAGGGTCGGAAATGACTCCTTCACATAAAATTCGAATACCCTGCCAGGGTATAGATAGTAAAGTAAAGTATACATTTTCAAAATTTAATTTACACTTTAACAAGGCAATAAACACACAGTAATTACTTATTAATATTTTTGCAGAGTAAGATACTGTTCAAGTAAAAAGAATTTATCTGAAGCAATCATCGATTGGCGGAAGGTTTCCGCTGCAGAAGTGCCACACGGACCAGGCCGTCCAGCCCTGCTCTCCCTGCACCTTCTGGGCGCATTGCACCGACCTGGTGATGTCATCCGAGAGCAGATCGTTGCAGTTCACATTGCAGCCGTTGTGCGAAAAGTGTCCATTGGAGGGCTGGCACCAATAGCGATCGTTGATTTGGAAGATTCCATAATCATTGGAGCCATCAGTGTTAGGGGGACCCACCACTTCAGTGCGGAAGGAGCTTTCGTGCTGGGCAATGCAGGTCCACTTGTTGAGCTGATCACGAGGAACGCCCAGATTGGACATCTCCCGAGCCAGGGAGCAACGGTCCATGGTGCGGGCCAGCACCGAGGACGTGGCGAAGGCCAGGACGCAGACAACCAAGAGAGTTCTCATATTGATGGGTGACAGAAGACACTAATGATGTAGAACGGTCTGTCTCGGGGTATTTATACCCCTTGTAGATCACAAACAAAGGGAATTATTAGTAATGGGCTTTACCAGTGATAAGACATATTTCATTGAGTAATTAAGAAATATTCATGCGGTAAGAGATATATAATATATTTTCTTTTAAAAGCTGGACAACTTATCTTGTACAAACAAAACCTTGCGTATTTCTCAGATATTTGATTAACCTTTCTGGGAAATTACCTATCGGTCTATGATCTCTGGTATCTATAAGAAGGTGAATGCATTTGTTGGCCCATTCGGATGAGCCATACTATGTAGTACTTTAAGTAAATACCTTGCGTAAAACATATTTTATAGAATCATTCGAATTTTTTCCTTTCTCTTTGTAAGTAATATAGTAATTTGAAACACATAATTTATGTTATAAGTATAAAACCCAATTAAGAAACGGCTAAGCAAAACCCATATCCATCCCTGATTGTTTCTTACTCTAAAACCCTTTGGAAGCCTCAACCGCTCCTGGCAGCTCGTGACCCAAGCGCAACAGCATTGCAATTCGCAAAACTCACCCCCAAATATTGGACACGCAGAGCGGATGTGACGCACTGCGTCGGCGCGCTACATGTCAACCCCCCAGAGAACGATTTGAACTTAAAATTCTTAAATGCCGCTGCTCCTCACCCTGTGTCCTGCCAGCAGTAAACAAAAACAAGTTGGAGAGCCAGAGAGAGAGAGAGAGAGAGCTTACGGCTGACAGCTGAAAGTCCCAAAATTTCCCTGGCTCGGGAGCACGGAGCACGGAGCCCACCACTCACAACTGGACGTCGAACGGGGGCTCAAGTGCGCCAGCTAGCGACGTCAAGGAAATTATCGATTTTCGCATGTGAAGTGAAAAATTTGACTCGACTCTCGACAGTGGCCGAAATCGCAAAAGTTAACCAGCCTGGCTTGAAGGTCTTCCAACATATAAAACCCCATCGAATCGAACTCCGTAGAAGCTCCCAGCTAGCCCGTAGTTGTGGGCGTGGCAGCTGGTCGAAGCCAGGTCCCAAGACGACATGGCGGACAGCGAGTTCGAGGAGTTCCACAGGCCCATATTTGAGCCCCACACGATTCCCACATTTGGAGCTGCAGCTGGCAACAAGAAGAATAATCCCCATGCATTTTACTCGTAAGTAAAGAAAAGGTTAAAGGTTACATTATAATTCCAAAAGTACCAAAGTGAAGTGATGCGGAGCTAAGAAGCTGCACGTGTCCCCAGGAGCACCCCCTTTGAAATTAGTCGGTATCCTTGAGGGAATGGGAATGCATTTGCTGTTCTTTTGAAACTTTTTGAATGCCATTTTCCTCCTGACTGACTGACTCATCCATATGCACTCATAACACAATTTCCACAGTCTAATTCCCAACGATGACCTGGAGGACTCGCACTCCTCGAAGAGCGAAGGCGATGGCTCCGATCAGGAGGATGGCATCGGGCAGGTGGACCGTGAGCCCAAGATGCGTCAAGTGGAGGACGACGAGCTGGGCGATGGCCTGAAGGTCACTCTGTCTTCGGATGGATCCCTGGACACCAACGACTCCTTCAACTCACATTGTCATCACCCGTTGAATCATCAGGATGCAATTGGTGGTTTCCTGGGCATGGACAATAGTGGATTGGGTGGCAACAGTGCTCCGGTGACAATTGGAGCTAGCACAGATCTGCTGGCCCCGAATTCAGCAGCCACACGTCGACGGCGCAAGCTCCCTGAAATTCCCAAGAACAAGAAATGTAAGTTCGATAGATGAGAGTGTGTAGTTTCCTATTAGAGTGTCCTGCATGCAAGTAGTTCTAAGGGTCCTAACTGGTTTTCACTTCAACATAATGGTTTTTCATTAAGTTTTATTTAATCTATGAAAACCGGTTACTCCCCACTTGATATCCCTTCGTAGTTACGGGCTAACCCACTCATGGCCTCGTTGCAGCTTCCATTCTGCATCTTCTAGGTGGCTCCAACTTTGGCTCTCTTGCGGATGAGTTCCGCCACAATGGAGGACCTCCTCCGCTGGCAGCTCGTGGCGGCAATGGTCAGCAGCGCTCATTTCTGTCTCTGAAGTGCGGTTACTTGATGGACGAGGACTCTAGCCCGGACTCGGGCGGCTGCAGAGCCTGGGCGATGTGGACAGCGGTCACAGCACAGCACATTCGCCGAATGACTTTAAGAGCATGTCGCCACAGATCACATCGCCCGTGTCCCAATCTCCCTTTCCGCCGCCTTTTGGGGGGTGTTCCCTTCGGCCAGCTGGAGATGCTGGAGGCCACCCATCGCGGCTTGCACAAGTTTGTGCCACGGCACCATGACGAGATCGAGCTGGAGATCGGCGATGCCATCTATGTGCAAAAGGAGGCCGAGGACCTGTGGTGCGAGGGCGTCAATCTGCGCACCGGACGCCAGGGCATCTTCCCCTCGGCCTATGCCGTCGACCTGGACTACAACGAGTTCGATCCGACGGTGCAGCTAGTGAAGAAGGAGCGCTACCTGTTGGGCTACCTCGGTTCCGTGGAGACGCTGGCGCACAAGGGCACGGGCGTGGTTTGCCAGGCGGTGCGCAAGATCGTCGGCGAATACGGAAGCTCCCCCACCGGACAGACCTGCATTTTGGAGGTGTCCGACCAGGGACTGCGAATGGTGGATCGATCGGGACCGAATGTGAGTAGGACCTGATATCAGGAAAATATTTTCTGAGATAGATAACAATCCAGGCTAAACTAATTGTACTTAATTTATAAACAACCCCTGACCGGAACTACTCTTTCCCTCCCCTTTCAACAGCAAAACAAAAAGGATAAGAAGCCTTGCATCGACTACTTCTACTCGCTGAAGAATGTCTCCTTCTGCGCCTTTCACCCTCGCGATCACCGCTTCATTGGCTTCATCACCAAGCACCCGACGGTTCAGCGGTTTGCGTGTCACGTCTTCAAGGGATCGGAGTCCACCAGGCCCGTGGCCGAGGCAGTGGGGTAAGTCTTGCAAAGGGTAACCTAAGATACGAATCTAATAAACCCCCTTCCTCTCCGGCAGCCGTGCTTTTCAGCGATTCTATCAGAAATTCATTGAGACCGCCTATCCCATCGAGGACATCTACATTGAGTAAAGTAATGGCAGGCAGGGTGGTTTGTGCTTCATTAACCAATATGATATATTTTTTGTGCGGTTATTACGAATAAAAACTAAAATCTCAAGAAATATTTGCTCTTCTTCAAAGAGATTCTTACAACAAATTCAATAAGCTCGCAATAGAAACCCTAGCGATAAAAAAACCAAACACTACTTTTAGATTATTCTAATTTTTCCGTTCCTACGAATTGTGCAAGATCTTAGACATGTAAATAGTTACCTTTTGGTTCCAAACTCCCCACTTGACACTCGCTTCAAGCAATCAGCAATAGCAATAGTTGCCCTTTATAGGAACACACCTTAAACACACACACCTAGCCTAGGTAAATGCACAACCAAGAAACCACACGATGATAAGTTGAACTCCTGTTGATGGCCCAGAATTTTGTATCGAAAGATAATGGCTCAGTTGGGTCTTTTGTAAAAAGGCAGAGAAATCTGTTGGATTTATTTAAAGTAATTCGAAACCCTCTCGATCCATGGCACAGCACAAATACAGTGAGGCCAAAGTAATTTAGAGCTCTACAGATGTATATCCGGAGTTTAGTCTTAGTTTCGTCTATCTTTCAGTTACGAGACTCAACAATATCGAACACCAGCTGCTACATTTTCAAGTATTCTCAATAAAAGCCCAGTTCTAAGATGTGTAAACCTATAAAGTTGTATACAAAAAGACGAATATATATACTGTATATGTATACAAAGAAATATATAATGCAATTCATGCAAAACAAAAAGGAATGCAGGTGGTTTTATTTTATATTTGTTATATTTATTTATTTTTACAAGTATTTATTGTTGTAATTTTCTAAATACATATATGGCTCAAAAGTATACAGCAATATTTTTAGCTATGAAGAGTTCTTTGGGTATAAAGGCCTCCCAAAATGTTGCTTTACTGAACAGAGTTAAATGAAATCTGCCAGAAAGTAGGCAATAAAGCTTACTTTTTGCATTAAAAGGTAATTAATCAATCAGATCTATATCTTAACAGCAATTAAATGATCATTTATATTTAATCAAACGGGGTGAGATAATCCTGACTATGACGAAGCTTCAACTCTATGACTTTTCTGATATTAAAGTGTGTAATGATTTTGTTTATACATTATAAATTAAATATCAATAATTTATATATAAAACATAAGTATACATTTTAAAGTATTTTAACCTTAATTTAAGTTAATCAACTTTATTTTCAGTGCAGCCTTTCCTGTTACTCTTCCGAGTTTCCTTTGTGGGCATTGCAGTGAAATTATAACTCCAAGCTTCCATGTTTAATGTCGCCATTTCACCCAGGGAATTTCGTACATTTGCCACATATATTTGCCGATCGATCTATAACAATCACACATTAATAGTAACGCCCAAGGCTTTAAGATTCAAATACTGCCGAGCCATTACAAAGGCGATACATCAACTAGCCTTGGGCCAAAAATTATTATGCAATTTATACGAAGCCGACTTTCTTTGGAGGCGGTTCATTGATCGGGTGGGCCGGGTCCAGGTCCAGGAGCAGGTCCGAGCTGCCTTTGGGCAGTGTACTCTTACAGGAGCACTAACTAAATTCGTGTCGCTGGCAATGGAAATAGAGACCAGATGCCAGCTACTAATACCAGCTACTAACATCAGCCTTGGCAGCGACTTTGCGGCCGGCTGAGAGTGTGGGAACTGGTTTCGGAGGTTGGGAAAATCGGCACGGCATTCGCCTTATGCACTTGTCAGCCGGCCCGGCCTCTTTACGCTATCAATTAGAGATTAAACGACAATTTCAATTTAAAAAACGCTTGTAAAGCAGAGCAGCCGAAAAGCCAACTTGAT